TTAAAATTTTATTAAGTTAACCTATTTTAACTTTCTAAATAAAAATATTCAACACTATAAAAAATATATAATCATATATTTTTTAAATTAATATATTAATTTTTAAAGCTTGTATATGTTGTGAACATTCTTGGATGTTTGGATATTTAAACATTGGTTATGGTCAAAAAAAATCTTGAACATAGTAGACATGACAACACTGGTAATAGTTGTATAGTTAGCAGTTTAATTATTAGTCCTAACTACAAATATTAGCTTTAATTATAACATATATATATAACTATTTTAAATTATTAATAAAAATATAAACAAGGCCTTATCTTAATATCAAAAAAAGAATTTTTTATTTGTTTTTTGTTGTAACTACAAAATTGAATTAAAATTCAAAAAAGTTTGAATTGATAATATTATAAAACAATAAAATACTAAATCTTAATTGTTATGATATGAATATAAAAAATTAATTTTTATTATTATAAACTATTTTATAAATTGACTTATATTTATATTTATTACTTAACACATGCATATTTTAAATTAACTAACATTTTTCTTAAAATTAAAAAATATATTCAACAAAATAATCTTTTTATTGTTTTTTAAATTTATTATAAAATAAAAATTTTAGATATTAATAAATATATTCATGCTATGCAATAGCAAATCTATTACTGATATAAGCATTTAAAAGTTGACAAATATAAAATAACCAAGAATCAAGTAGAATCAATAATAAAATATTTTTACCAACAATCTAATTTTAATTTAATTATTTAGCAACCTATAATAGTTGTTTTTATAGCTTTTATAATTAATATTTTTCTAAAATATTAAATTAATACAATTATTGTAAATACAATCTATAATACAAATTAACTAAAATATAAACTTTATAATATTTTTAAAATTATAGATAAGACTGAATTTCTTTTAACATATCTGTTTTTAAAACCTGACTAAGAAAAAAAATGTTTAGTATTTGTTTTATTTAATTAAAAAATAAGGCTTTTATCATACTTATATATTTATAAGTAATAAAGATTTTTTTTAAATAATATTAACTCAAATAATTTAATATTATATGCATATTTAGTTATATTATTGGCACATTTTCTAGACTATAAAAAAAAATTTTTTTAGTTTCAAAATTGTTTATTTACTATATAATACATATAAAGCACATATTATTTATTTAAAGATTAATCTAATTTGGCAACCTGTATTAAAAACTAAAGATATACTTAATAAGCTCTTTTTAAATAATAATATAGTTAAAAATGTGAATAAATATTAATTATTTGTTAAAAGAATTTTTATAAATATATTATTCAACTAGTTCAAATTTATTTTTTTATATATTTGTTAATTCTAACTAAAATATGATCTAAATTAAGCAATTTGTATAAAATTTGAAAATACAGTATTAAAGAATTATATAATTATTATAAAATTAATAATTTGTTTTATGTTTGAGCTTATATATAGAACAAATAATACAAACCAAAGTGCTAAAAATTATGAATTTGTTTAATAACTAAGTATGTTAATATATTATAATTTTTTATAATAATTAAAAGTTCTTAAAAAGTAATTAAATATAACTATCTTTTGATATATAATAGAACATGTTTTGATTTATTAGCTCATATTATTGTAGAATGAGTAATATTTAAACAGATAGATTGAATGTAATAATTATGAAATAGTAGAATTATAGTATTTTAGTATGATAATCTTAAAACAGAATGATATTAACTTAATAAAAAAATAGTTAACTCTAATTCTTAATAAATTACGTATATATTTTAGTTTTTTGTTTAGTAGATTTTTTATTTGCAAATATTTAAACTATAAAATAAATTTAATTATTATTAAGTTCTTTAAAAAAATATATTTTATTTGTTAATTTATCATATTTATATTTAATGATTTAAATATTTTTAGATTAAATATTAAGAATATTATTTATTATTGTGATTTATTAAGAAATATAATAAGAGTATAGTAATCTAATGAAGTAAATAGGTTGTCAACTCTTAAGTAGCAAGTCTAAGGTTCAATTTCTATAGATGATAAATTTTAAAATTATATCTGTATTATAATAACTGTCTCTTGTCAATTAGTTGAGTTTTGAGCATCTGTAATCTTAGATACATCAAGTTAGATTCTATCTAATATTGGAAGCTCAGAACATCTATATGAAGTATAATGTTACATATATATAAGAAATGTAAAAAACTAATATCATATAAAATTTCAATATAAACTCATGATAAAACTACCAGGTGTAGAAGATTAAGAAACTAAAAAGACAGAAACCTATTTGAAATCTCAAATAAAAAAATAATACAAATATTTGATAATGCTGTTGGATTAATGAAAATACATGAAATATTTTCATAGAAATTGTTAGATAAACTAGATAACAAGATATATAAAGAAGCATATAACCAACTAGGTTATCAAAATTACTAAAAAAAAAGAATACATAAGTATACTATACCAGACCATTTGGATTGAAAGTCTAAGAAGTCTGTTGGTTCTAAGTTGTAACTAGTAAGAGATAAAAAAAATATATTAGAAAAATAGATACTAGAGTTTAGATAAACTTTACAAGAATAATAACAATTTAATGAATAACTCTTATTGCAAGTATTGGTTTTAACCATATTAGAAAATTTAAGTTAACAGTAGATAGAAAATATATAACTTACTCTAGTAGGTTTATCTTGAGAATAAAATTGTTCTAAGGTTGAGATGAGGATTTAGATACAAGTAACCTAGTGAAATTAGTATAAGAATTTCAGATCAGAAGATTTAAATAAAACATCTAAGCAGAGATGTTAGGTATAACAACTAGTAGAAAACCTTTGGGCAGACTCCTTAAATAGATAATATAAAAAAGTTATATGTATAACCAGTTGTACACTTATCGTAATACTTAACAAAAGTATTAATAAAGTCAAAAGACTAAAAAGAGTTATCTTAAAAACCAAAAAAAAAACTAAGAAATATGATAATCATTTTAAAGATTTACTAGAAAATTTTTTTTTAGTTTTAACCAAATTTATAATTAACTATATATCAAATTAACATAATATTTTAAATAAAAAACTTTTAAATACTACTTTAATTTAAGAAAATATACTGTTTTAAAATAATGCATAGTTCCAACAAACATTATTTAAAGATGATATATTATCTAATAATAATATATTATTTTAAAATGATGAATTACTTTTAATCAATATATTATTTCCAAACAATATATTAACCAAAACAATATATAATCTTAAGATAATATATATATATATTTTTAGAATAATACAATTAAAAATAATAAAATTTTAAATATTAAGTTTAAAGTAAGAAAGTTTTATTCATTAATAGATCATACTAGAATTATTATTGACAAGAATATTCAGATCCAAATACAGAAGAATAGATCAATTTAATTAATAAAAATTTTAATTTTTTATAAAAAATAATAAATGATTGTAATTAATTTGACAAAAAACTAAAAAATTTCAAATACATAAAATAATCAAAATCACAATACATTTTGAATTTAAGTTTACATAACATTGATATTTTGTAATATATATTTGAGTACAAAATGATTAATTAAAATTAATTTTACATATATAAATTTAAAAATTAAATTTTGAATTAGTAAAGTTCTTTTTTAAGATTGGGTTAGGTAAAGTAATCCGAGAGTCATGTGCTTTAAAGTGTTTAGTAAAAAAAAATGCTGAAGTGAAGGCAACAGTCGTAACAAAAGCATACACTATCCTTTGTGAAGCAAAGGATAACAGTATATTTTCTTGTAACAATAATTTTATTTAAAACAAGTATTTGATCAGAGAATCCCATGATCGGTATATCACGTGAGATGCGAAATTTTTTAGACTGGGTTGTTACTGCTCCCTCGATTGTTTGTAACGCTGGGTTGTAAATTTGATTAAGTTTAAACCAAAACTAATTTTTTGGGCGACGCTTGGTTCGTGATATCTTGTTCAAAATTACAATTACATGGAATTTCCCTACCCCTGTATGAGTTACTTAATGATTGGGCTATGAGCTCATCAGTAAAATTTTTAGTGATCTTGGGCAAAATTAGTTAATTCCGGCCCTGCCGATCATAATTCCGAGGGACCTCCCTGGATGAGTTTATGATGATCTGTATCTGTTTTCACCTTTTTTTTGAAAACAGAAATAACGTCATAATGAGACGGGAAATAACTACATAATATGCCTGTTATTACTGTATTAGAGGTGCAAAATTAAAATTAAGGTTACTATTTCAATATACAATAAGTTACGGTTACATGCGTGAGTACTTATAAGAAGTCTGCATCTCTGATTGTTGCAAATGTTTACATTGGTTATCTGTTATCTAAATACGTCAAGATAATAGTCTTATCAAACTATCGTTATCTTTGATAAGCGTTATCAATAAATTAAGGTGCTTAATATATGTTAAAAATATAATAGATAGGATCACAAAAAATATACGTGCGTAAATTCCATGATGTTTGTTGACCTTATAAATGATTACTATAAATGATTATTTTATACCAATACATCGTAACTTTTCTCGAAATATCATTTTTCTAATACCAGATTTTCTTTACAAAATCTTAATAATCAAATGGATGTCAGGATAATTTTTATAGCATCAAGTGTAGTTATAAGTTTTATTGGGAGTTGTTTTATTTTATACTTTACTATAATAAAACTTACTTATTTAAGAGGTGCATGGTAAGTTTGAATCACGTGAATTATATAACCCTCACGTTCTTATCTAACGTAATTCTTTTACATAATTAACAGCCTAATATCAAGCATAATGACCTTAACTCTCTGTATAATGAACTTGGTACGAGTATTACTTTCCACAATATCAAGCACTTATTTTTGGTGTTTTTACGAAATATCGTCCGTTCTCTACTCGACAATAATATGGACTTCACTTTTGATCACGGGTCGTAGATTTTATGATGATTCAAGTTGCGATATTCTAAGTAAATTAACCATACTTTCGATAGTTATATTGAATATTATATATTGGTCAACTATTATTTTTACTTTAATATCAACTCAGGAACATCCTGATGTTAAGGCCTTTATATTTCAAGCGATTTTTTGGTTGATTAGTGGATTATGCTCCTTTTTTTATGCCTTTACACCGGTCTTAAAAACTCTTTCTGATCGTATAATAGTAACATTTGATGATATAAAGGTCAACATTGACAACGATACAGATGATAATGTTGATAATGTTGATAACGTTGATAATGGTAATAGTAATGATAACAAAACCACTGAGATTACTTACATCAAGAACATTATCGAGGATAATGTCGAGAACAGTATCAAAAACAATACCGAAAACAATACCGAGAATGATAGTATAAGTAATAGTGAAAACATTAGTAATAATAATGATAGTTTAAATAATAATTCAACAAATGATTCCATTCCGGAGATAATTATCGCCAATTCAAACTTTGAGAGTACAAATATTGCCACTTTCAGGATTTATCCTATAACTTTAAAAAATGCATCCGTAGGTATTTGGTATATGATAATGACAAGTTCATTAATGCTTTGTTATTTCTTTTTTTATATCATGGAATTTTCTCTGCATCCTTCCATGCCTTTTGATCCAATTAGTATTTCTATCGATTTTATATTAAGAAGTTTTCTTGTACTTATTTATGGCGTTCCACCGTCAAAAATAATTCTAGATTTTTTATCAAAAAAGATTTTAAGATCGAGATGCATTTTGGTTTCTATTAGAGTCATTGATGATAATGTTCGTATATAACGAAATATGCTGGTTTAAATTAAACAATTTTCAAATCTTTAAATAAATTTTGTCAAAAAAAAAAATCACGCGCACACATTTTAATGATTTTAATGATTCGAATTAAAAGGTAAACTTGTAAACTAGCAAAGCACTCTGGCAATGCCTCATTTTTTTGAAGTAAGATCATTATGACATTTTAACGTAATTTGAATGCGAACATGAGATACAAGTAATAGACACATAATAGGCGCATAAAATGCGATTAATTTTTATCAAATTCACGTGATTTATGCCCCGAATAATTATAACACAACAGGATGAAACCTGAGTTGCGAAATAGTGAAATACGCTATGATCATTACATGAGGGTGAAATTTGCTTTTAGATAATAAAAAACAATAAAACGCGGATTTCACTATTTCGCAACTCAGGTTTCACCATGTTCTATTCAATCCGCATAGTTTGTATAGTTAACTGTAGTTAACCATAGTTTGCAATATGCATAGTTTACACAGATTATACAAAAATTTGAATATTGAACAGTTTCCGCAGGTTATAAATTCAAAATCTTTTTATATGCACAAAGCGAACATTATCCATAAAAATCATAAGCGCGACCTATTAATTTCGTATGCGCTCTATATAAAAATAATAGGCGCTATTAAGAAAAATGCCACCTAACATATTTCAATAAAATACGCGGAAAACAAATGTACAGTACACTATGCATACCCCATGTATTCAATTTACAATACTGGTTATCGAGATTGTCAATTACAGATCATATTTCTAGTTTATCAAAAAGTAAACATAATAATATTGAATTGAAACTTGTAAATTTGTATTATAAAGAATGTGGTAATTTAGTGTAGTGGATAAGTTGTTACTTCTCCAAGTGACAAGTTGAGCAAAAATTTAAAAAATTATCTATATTACAGCAATTGTTTAGTTGGAATAGGATATCTATAATTAGAGATTACAGAATATCAGTATGATACGGGTAAGCAGATCTGTATAGTATAGGCCAAAATTAAAAAGAAGTAAAAGTTATACTATACTGATTAGTTATAATTTCTCACTCTAATGTTAATATATACAACCCAGATCAGTATGATATAGGTTCTAAAATTTGGCCTATACCATACTGATCTGCAAAATACTTCTATAATTATGATTCATACTAGCATAACTGATAAATTGTGTAATCTTAGTTATACAAAAGTATAAACTCATATAAATTTATAAAACTAAAAATTAAAACATCCAATCTTAAAAATTTTTTTAATAATTTATAAACAAATGCCTTCAACTACAAAAAGTACTTTTTGCCTAGAAATCTTCAAATCTCTTTTTAATTTCAAAAAAATCTAACTGAGATTTTACTCTCAATCAAGTTCATCTTATATCTATTATAGAATCCTTTAAAAAAATCCTTACAAAAATCTTTACTCAACACTTAGACAAAATCATCTTATCTAATAACCTACTATTAGATCTCAATTTTGTAGCAATTAAAAACTTATTTATTCATATTCATATTCAAATTCTTCATAATACAATTGAACACTACAAATTTTATAATAAAAAAATCTGGATTCTTTTTCAAGACATATCAAAGACATTTGACAAAATCAATATTTTCTGACTTTAAAACTTATATAAAAGAATTAATATTATAAAAAAAGAAATAGATCTAATCATTGAACTATATACAAACTGAACTGCAAAAATTATTACAGCTTATGGATTCTTAAATTTAATTTATCTAAAATCTAATATAGAATAAGAAGAAACATACTTTTCATTATTATAAAAAATATATTATAATTCTATTCTATCTTTTATTTCACAAAATATTATAATTATCTATTTCAAATATCTTTACTATCATCAAATGAACTTATACATAATTACAGTCTTACTTCTATTACTATAATTCTATTCACCTTTATAGATGATACAGTATGCATTATTAAGATTCACAAATTCTATAAAACATTCTTAATAATACATCTTCATTATATCAACTTAATAATATTGAAATTAATCTAAATAAATCAAACTTATTATATATATATTCAAAATTTTGTAACATATCTTCTTTTATATTATCTTTTAACAATCAACTTATTGTATCAAGAAAACCTAAGGATATAATTAGGAATTTTGAAATATATTATAATAAAAATAGTACAACTAAACCTACTATAGACATAATCAATAACAAAATTAAAACTTTTTTCAACTTATCAAATACAAAAAACTTATATCATTACAAATATTCTCTTTCTTCAATCTTGTTCTATAACCCTCATTTGAACATCTTCTTTAAATTACTCTTATTAATATATTAAACTAAACCAAATTTTTAAAATTACTTTTTATTCAAATCAAAAAAATATTTTCTTTAGTAAAAAATACTAACAATATTGTCTTAACCAATTCATTTATCTTTAATCTTCTAATACTAAATAATATTATTCAAAAAGTTAGTGCATCTAATATTGAATGCATCTTTAATTCTAATATATTTTTTCTTTACAATATCAAAACTATCTGCATTAAATTATAGTTAACCAAAATATGACATTTTGAATTATCAACTAATATACTTATTAAATATTATCATAAAACATATAATTATACTTTAATATTTCATTTCTCACAACTCACAAAAAACAATATCTTACTCAAAGTTCTACCCTTTACCCTCTGCTGAATACAAACAATGTACAGGATGTCACCTTAATTCTCATAGAATTAACCAAACTTGTACTGTTAAAGTTTCTGCAGTTATTTCGACACAATTTCTTGGGAGAACGAATTCCAAACACCAACTCAACCTCAATGCAAATTACTTAGACCTTATCTGCTCTACTGCTGTCAAGCATCCAATCCATATTCCTCCCCTACC